AAATGCAAACATAGGAAGGAGTAAGAGGCAAGACAAAAAACAGGAGAAGAATGTCAGGATCACCAAGGTTTTGTGTGCAATAGTTATTGATTTATTTGAAAAAGAGCCAATACAAATGGGAGAGGGAAAAGACTATTTTTTTCCACCTAATACTAAAATAACAAGATTTAAAAAGAGTTGGTGAAAGAGCCCTGTTAAAGAGAGTGTTTTGAGGACAGGATGGGCCCTCCCAGCGTGATTACAAATGTGCTGCACTTGGGCCCCATTGCTGACTCCAGAGTTCATGAAAGTGATTCTCTTTTAGCTGGGAGTTGTCTTCATATAAACTGTATTTTAAAAAAATCCTAAAAACTATCAAAATAATAATAGAAAAACATGAGGCAGGAACAGGTTAATAACACAAATACCATGATAAAAACACAGAATCAACTGGATTATGCTTAAGTGGAAACTCTTACAAGGCCTATTACAAATTCCACTTCTTAATAAGGTCAGCTAATTAGGCAGACAGACATTTCCGTCAGAATATTGTGTTCAGCACAACACACCACTTTAAAAACAACTTCCAGAGGAAAGCATTTACTGTGAAACACTTTGAACTATTCCATTTGCTCTACCTAAACAATTAAAATCATTAGAATAGCTTCCTCCTGAGGAAAGTATGAGAAAGGAATGAAGAGCTGATGGTGAGATTTTGGTTGTTATCTTTAGAACTGTTCCATAACAGAACTTTTTCCTAGCAGTTTATTCTCAAAAATGAGGCCAGGACATGTCAACAAAAACGATCCCAGCAGCACTGACTGATTCTTGGAAAAGCTTAGAGTCTTCATCTACCTGTGTGATAAAAATTGCAGCCATTCAGTAATGCTTAAAAAGTCATCATTTCTGACTACCTGGAATTTGTGGGCTCACAGTAATTCACTGTAGGATAAAGAAAATGCTTCCTTTTCAAAGCGGTCCAAGGTGTTCTGGAAGTACACCCTTACGTGTCACAGATTTAGAAACTCTTTTTTTCCCCAGGAAGTTGTAGAAACAAGCTGTGCTCTTGAAGGACATGCTCTCACTTCGGAAGATATAAATTAACACCTGAGAAACGCAACACGTAAACGCAGCTTTCTCCTATATTCTTCTCCCCCCCCCCCCAATCATATGAAGTTCTTAGTGACAAACCAGAGTCCAAAGAATGTACAAAGTCTCTAGTAGAGACAAACAAGACTGCAGGAGCTGTTATGTGCATAGTCTAGTTGGAACGACAGCTGCAATCACCTCTGGGATTTTACAAGCATATTCTAATTCTTAAAAGCAATACACATTGAATGGTGAACCGCTCCTAAGTTTATGAGGGACTTGCCACACACACTAAAGTAATTGCCTTCCTGGATCCTGTAGTGGATAAAAATTGCAAATAGGATGTAACTCTCAGCTTGTATCATTAAACCGTTTGGAACTAAACTTTGGACCACAAGAACAGAGGTGCTCTCTTCCTAGGTTGAAATGTGGCCAACTCCCTTTTGAAACTGTACCACTGAGAAACAACAAATCAAGTGAATGAGAAAATGATGGTCCAAAGTTAATGGCAGGGTCCTTTGTGAAGAAAACACCATAGCCCAAAGCAACATTTCAGAGACTTGGAAAATACAAAGGCCAATTATAGCAGTTGTGAGACTGCACCAGTGGTGAGGGAAGGAGATTGTACTTCAGAGATGGAAGAGCAGGAGTGCCTGCATTTCAGAAAACAACTTAAAGACTCCACAAGACACATCTATATTATTGAAAAACAATCTACAGTCTGGATATATATAAGGTATATTACTTTATGTATAATGTCTAAATACAGAAATATGTATATAGAAAATTATTATTTACTGCAGTTAGATTTGTGAGTATGCTAACTGTAAGGATCAAGTATGAGAAAGCATATAAAAGAAGCAGATAACCATTAGGAAACATATAGTATGCAGAATTGATTGAATATATATATATATGCACACACACACACTTAGAGGAGAGCTGGGATTTGGATTCTTTGCACTGCTGCTGAACTACAGGATCCCACTGATTGCTGCTCAGCTCAGAGCTGTTTACAGATGTGCAATTAATTTCTTGCTACCAACTATCTATCCTGAATAAACCCAAGCAACAGATCTGGTGTCAGCCTGAGCCTCATGGATAGATGAATTCAAGGGAGTCTAGTTCTTGGAAGAGACAAAATTAGGGATTGGTTTGAGCAATGGAGGCAAATAGCTGCCCCCTGAAGTTATCAGTGGGACTCTGAAACCTTGGAAGGAGCAGCTAACATTCACAGGAAGCTTTGATTATCTGGAAGATAAGTGCTGTAGAACAGAAAATGTATCTGTGTTGAAAGGCAGCAAGTTCACCAAGATAAATTACTAAGTTAGATTGCCTACTTTGCCAATAAGAGAGCAAAAGCAGTTTTAAAGATTACTAATGCTGAATCCTACTTGAGTGTCATTATCCACACAATCAAATATAAACCACGATTCCACAGAAGCTGCAAGGAACTTGTTACAAAGTGAAATTGTGGATTCTGTTAAAGCAAAACATGCTTTACTATTTGTTTTTCCTCACTGTACCAGGAGGAAAGAGAGCAAACACACCCCTAATGAGAGTCTTTTAGATAACACCTATGGTTTGTTTTCTCCAAAAAACACCTATTTGAACTTTTCAGTAGTCTGTTTCAGGGAGGTGGTTGGTACTGATTCTGTGTTCTACACAGTTCCAGAGAACCAAGACTGCTCTGTCCTCGGCTGAGTTGATACTTCCATTTGTTCTTGTATAAACCACTGTGTTTTTATGTAAATCATCATACCTCAAGCAACATGTTTTTTGCTGCAGGGTGTACATAAATGAGCTCTACAATTCTTCGGCATCAGCCTAGAGAGTATGTCACCAGGGGAGCAAAGACTAATTTGGAGACATTTTTGCTGGTCTAAAAGTCATTAAACCCAAGGGCTCTAAATGTTCACAGCCCTTGGGGAAGCACAGTAAATTGGGACAGTCTGACATAGACACTTGAAAGTAATCACGTCTGTAGAGCCCACAAATACCTAAGGATTCATGAGTCAACAGGGGTGAGGCATCATGGCTGGCTAGAAATAGATGCCAGTGTGATTTCAGTAGCAGTCAGGGCAGACTTGTTTACTTATTTGTAAATCAAGCTTAGAAAATGCTATAGAATATACTGTATAAAATTGAGTGGCCCAGGCACGGATACATTGAAGGGTTCCATTTCTTGATATGTGTGCTTTGACAGCCAGAAAGTGGTACATAGAGAAACCGACCAGTCAAATGACATAAACACCAACCTGCATTGATTTTAGAAATCAAAGGTTCATGCGTAAGGACTCAAAACTCATGCTTAACAGTGTTAAGCAAAGTCAAAGCAATATATATGGTGCTACAATCACTACATTCCTTATATTGTATATCAGCTCAAGAGACTGTACTCTAAAGATGCTCTCAATCTACAACTGGAAGTACCCATTTATCTTCTTCCCCCATATTATTTTCTGTATTATTGGATATTGCCCATGTATACTGCCAACAGTGACGTGAATTTTAAGAAGTGCAAAAGAGCCTGAACCACAGGAATTATCTCCAGGTTCTCTCACAATGGCTTCTTTCTCACTTAAAACACAGACCATGATCAGATCAACCAAAACAGCCCTGACTTAAAACAATCCAGATAATTTAAATTTACAAATACTGGGAGAGATCAAAGCGTTTATCCTGCAACAGGGTAGTGTAAGATTTTGAAACCCAGCTGCAGCAATGAGATAATGCGTTAGTCCCCAGCTTCGCAATGCAATATTAAGTGCCTGCCATGAAGGCAGATAACATGGGAACCACTTCATTGAAAGTTTAAGTGAAGGTCATTGGTTTGATCCCCTTAAACACAGACTGATGCTTATTTTACCTGTTGCCCAGATTCATGGCATTAGGTCTTAAAATAAGCCTTGAAGACTATGATGGAGCAAACTCTCACAGTATTTTCATCATAGGCCTCTCAACAGAAACATTTTCTCTGTCCAAAAGAAAAGGTCAGTAAAGAAAACTCAATATAAATTCTCCCTCGCTGTTCCAAATCAGAGACATTAAATGTTTAATTTCTACACTATCTGTAGGACTTTTAATTCTGTCATCTGAATTGATATTCTTTTGAAACACAGAAATTATCATACTGAATGAACCCACAGTCCCCAAAATCACCTACCCTAAGCATGTAGCTCACATTTTTGGGAAGAACAGGCCAAACTGGTAATCTACTGCCCACTGCTCCCAAAGCCCCATGATGATCTCAGATGCTCACATTGGTTTGAGCAAGAAACCCATGAAGTTTAGCATTGTTTTAAGAACATATCATCCATCTGCCAAGACCACCACGTTTCAGCTGTGGCAGTATCTTATACAGTAATGTAGATCCACAGAGCAGGCTGTAGCCTGATCTTCAGTTCATTTCACAAAGAGCAGACAACCAAGTTTAATGCTACTTTGCATTAACTGTGGTCAGAAATGGAATTGACTGTCAAATAATTGTGTGAGTTAACTGTTAAGCTGCCAGTAGTATCTGCTTATTGATCTGTGTATATACACATTAGACAGTAGTTACAGTTGTTTTCATTGTTCTTTACCACCCCTTTAAAATACCCATGCTGTATTTCTCACCAAAAAAGAACATGCAGCGTACTTGAAATAAGATGTACAATGTACTACTTGGATTTTAGCTAAAGGAAGTTAATGACAGCTTAAAAACTTTACAAGTACAAATAATATAATTATGTGTACGCCATCACATAAAAGAAAAAAAATTCCCCAAAATTCCAGAACCCAAACCTCACCCCTACCTCTCCTGTAATCAGAAAATGTGAGCTAAATGCTTCTAACACACCATGCCTATTGCTGCTCCAAGTCCCTCCAGCAAATGAAGTCCTTTTCTGATTAGTCTTCCATGAAATATATAAATTAACTTTGCAACATAATGAACTAAATACTCCAACTTTAATATTTTGCATTCATACCAAAAGCAATTAACAGTTTTTACAAATAGTGTTATTTACTAAAACAGTTCTTGTACAACAGTGCAGTATATCTAAATATATACATATGCCAACATCAAAGGGAGCATCAAACCAAACAAAACCAAAAATGCACTTTGCTACTGAGTACAGTTTATTAAAACCAAAGCACACTGCAGCAGGCTTCTTTTCTTTTTCATGACAGAGACAAAAATTATTTGGATTTCCAGAAGCACATGCAGGAGAGAACAAAAGCTCCTACCACCTTTTGCAAAGGCAGCAGCACGAAAAGTGAACCTTAGAGCTGCAATTTTACATGGTAGCAAATGGAATGTTTTTAAAACACAAAACATCCTAATTTAAGAAACAAGGCTTCAGAAAAGTACATCATTTTTACACATTGGAGAAAAAAGTTCAAAGGTCAAGGCCCTTCCATATTCTACTGTGGTGCCGGATAGTATGCGCACATGAAGGTTAATATTCTTCACTGCAGCTGAAAATGAGAAAGGACTAGCTGTAGTGGAGCTGGTCAGCTTTACTAAGGCTGAATAACAGAGTAAAAAATGATTCTGCCTGCTCTTAGCAATGGAGGCTTTTGTAACTTGTACTTTACCTTTTTAGTTAAAAATAATCTCCTTGAGTTCTTAACTGGAAAAATTATACTCCCATGTTCTTCAAAACCAACACACGCATCTTCTCCAAGGGAAGCTGCAGTTACGCATTTCAAAGTGCCAGTGTAGCTGCTGTAATTAGAAATGTTCTTTTTCATCCCGTCTGTGAAACCCAGCAGGCAAGGAATAAGGTAAGACCTTTATATGTAAAGACTGCACAGATATTTGTTTAAATACAAGTGAAAAATAAGGTAAGTCATATTAGAGAAAATACTAAACAAAGTGGAGAATGAGGTATTAAGCAGTTCTCCAGTGTAAATCTGATGTTCCTGCCATCTAGATGAAATCAGAGAACTATAATAGCAGCCTAGATTTGATCAGCAAAATATATACACTATTAAATGCAAATTTCTCTCCTTTGTTAATCTAAGCATTTCCACCCTGGCAGAATTCTCTGAAGTTCCAGTTACTCAAATTCAGTTTCCCCACCTCAAAATTCATTAACAATAGCTGTACCATGAGGGCAAAATGCTGCTCCACACCTGCTGAGAAGCATGCTGCAATTCTTCTGGTTTGTTCCTTTTAACCGTTGCTTTACTGCTGTCTATATATCCTTTGGCCAGTAATGTTAAATGCACATCTACACGGGTACCAAAAAAGAGATGGGGAAACCTGTTGCCACTGTTCCTCCATCTGCACACTGGAACACACTGCCACGGCATGAGCGTAGCAACTTCTAACCACTGCCTCAGTGTTTTACCTGGGATGCTTTACAATAAATCTTGACAACTTTGTTATGAGATGATACACATGGGTAAACAGGCTTTGTTTATAGAAGTGAAATGCACAGAAGGCACTTTCCAGCATTTGCCTCAGTTCATGACAATCAACCACCAAAATACCCCTTCTAAAGTTAATGAACATTTTTGTATGCCTTAATGAAAGGGTTAAACAACAAAGGGTTATACAAAATAGTATGAAAACATTTTAGCCTTTCATTGAGAAGGTTGCATGTAAAGAAACAAGACATTCAATAATTACGTCTTCTACTGAAACACAAATAACATATTTCCAGGAATTCTTAACTTTCAAACAGATTAACTTTCTGGCACTTCATTTATTTGCTGAAAAGCTTTTCCATACAGTAGCTGAACATGTGCTTTCACCCTTTCACCCATGTTTCAGTGTTCAATACTATAGTAAGACAGAACATACGTGAACTTGGTCAAAACAATGCATATATGAGGAATCTCACAATAAATCACAACAGAGAAGCACCGGAAACGACATCTCCAGGTTCATGATACCAAACTGGCAGAGAGGAGGTGAACTGAAATGTAATTGCTAAATTATCAGTTACAGAGGATACAAGAGGATGAGTGAAGGAATTAGTGCAATGACAGCATCTAGCAAGGCAGGAGGAGGCATCAGTTCAGAGTATCTAGCATAAGGGACACAAACAACTGAGAAGACAAATAATCTTTTCTGATAAATGAGAAAAATCAACATGAAGTTATACAGCTCCAAATTCAATTTAATCTGAAAATTGCATCTGAAATGGAAAATGTGGGATGCAACAGAAACACAAAGACTCTGAACCTAAAATTCCAGGGATCTACTGCACAAATTGTGGACAATGAAAACTGATTCTAAGTAAACTAAAATTCACAATTTGTTACAGGAGATACTTTAGAGCAGTGAGTTAGGGTTGTTCAGCCTGGAGAAGGGAAGGCTCAGGGGAGACCTTTGAGCAGCTTCCAGTACCTAAAGGGGGTCTAGAAGAAGTCTGAAGAGGGACTTCTCTTACAAGGGCATGTAGTGATAGCACAAGGGGGGATGGCTTTAAACTGACAGAGAGGAGATTTAGATTAGATACTATGAAAAAATTCTTCACTGTGAGGGTGGTGAGGCACCGGCACAGGTTGCTCAAAGAAGCTGTGGCTGCCCCATCCCTCCTGGCAGTGCTCAAGGCCAGGCTGGATGGGGCTTTGAGCAACCTGGTCTAGTGGAAGGTGTCCCTGCCCATGGCAGAGGGGTTGAACTAGATGATTTTTAAGGTCCCTTCCAACCCCAACTATTCTATGATTCTATGACTAATAAAGACAAGAAGGAAAATAAGAAGTGTCTGTCTTTTCTTTTTTTTTCCAGAGCTTTCAGTATACTGAATTTATAGTGGCATCACATTAGACAGTGTTATTCGGTCACGATGAACACAAATAAAAGGTGATTTTCATTTTCTTAAAGACAGATAAATGCCCAAAATAAGCAAGCTGAAAAAGCAGAAGAACTTACGATTACACGTAAGTTTTCAGCTTTCAAAGGAGGAACCAGGAATAAGCATTCCTGTGTGTTAAGGAAAGAAAACTTCCAAAATTTTAAAAACAAAGACAATTAGTAACAAAAAGTATTTCTGTTGAGTCATTTCTGCACAGAAGTTCCATAGGTCTTTATTACGGAACATGTGACACAACATGTGAAAACCTAAGACTGCAAACAGTCAGTGCCAACTGCATGATTTTGGTGCTTCAAGCTTCTCCTTGAATCGGGGTGTAAGAACTACGGATTAAACAGTCATGTTCACTTTTGTGTAAAGCCGTCACCTCTATACACATTGTTTCTCTGCTTTTACAATAGGATACCCAAAGCATACAGAGAACATTATCTAAATGATGCTACATGCTCTTTCTTAAGAAAATCACCTCTTCAATTTATTAAAAATTACCTATGACACAATTTTTTTTTTTAGTATTTCCTTTCAGATTCCACAGACTTTTGTGATGGCACCAAGCACTGAAGTAATGACAGTTTGTAAGGGTGCTTAAGTATTCTGGAGGAAAAAAATAATATGTGAAACCATTAGTACCAAACTAGCCAGCTGGCTAGAACATCCCTAGCTGGAACACGTCAGCTCTGGGCATGTTTTGTAGCCACCCCACTTGGAAGTTATGCAAAGCAGTCATTTGAAAGCATTAACAGGCAAAATACCTGTGTCTATTAAAATAGTGAAACAAAGGCATGTCAGGTAACTGTGTAGGAGTGCATGGGATAACTGAAATCAGCTTACAGTATAATGTACAATTGCAAACTTTAAGTCCAGAAGCATCCCACTAAAACAGAGTACACAAAAGTGAACAATTTCCAACATACATACTAACAAGTCTGAAAACACAGATCTTGTGGTGAAGCCATCTAGTATTGCTCTAAGTGGAGTCAGAGTTGCTGGAAAAGATAAGAGGAAAGCAGGATGTATTAACAGGCTGAATACAAACGCAAAGCAACAACAGTCTTTGTACAAGAAACTGTGATCAAGCATATCTAAAACACCGCCTTCTGTTATCATGGGGTTTTTTGCAGCACCTCAGCTACAGAAAGAAAATAGCATGCCTTAAAGAGCCACCTGGCTAAATTACTGAGAAATGCAAGGATTTAAAAAAGACTAATGCACATTGCTGCAGAAGAGAGTTCAAAGTAACCGGAAAGTGAATGAAAATAAGATAACTGTTCACACTATAGAAGGGCTAATAAACTCAAATGGTACAACTGGAAATTGAAACAGATGTTTAAGGCAGAAGTGTGTGTGTAGAACAGTAAACAGAACAAATTGCTAAGCAAGGCCACAAGAGATAAAATAAAGCCCTGAAGGTTTGTTTAGCAAAGTATTTTAAATGTCCATAAATTCTTCATGTTCTAATTAAGAAAACTTGAATAGTGTTACTCATGTTGTGTATTCCAGTTTAAAACTCCATCACTTCTCTTCCAGCTCAACTCCTCTGTCTTTGGTGTAATCTCTACCAACAAACACAGAATATAGTTCTGGTTCTCACTGTAGAAAACAACTTGGAAAAAATAAATTATGTGCTTCTTATGATAAAATGCAAGATCCTGATCTGTTGCATGGTCCCATGATATGTTTAGCAGCCTCTGAATAGTAGTTTTAAGTTATTAATTATATCTGAAGCAGAATCATAATTTGCTGTTATCCCCCCAAATCAATTGTTAGTTAATTAGTTTACTTTGGTAGATAAGCCATCTAATAGGCATGATACTCTTGTGTTCAGTTCAAGAAGTAATGAAACCTAGACTCAGATACATTTGTAAATTCATATGTAGACTTTAGCTCGTAAGTGTAACCATGATATGCAAAATTACTGATTTTCCTGCATTGGAAAAAGACACCACATATGTCATAAAACTAGACAAAACTATGAAACATGGTTGTCAGTTCATGATTAAAATAAAATAGTAAAGTAAATTATTTTTAGACATTGTGTTAAATATATTCACATGATCACGACAGCTATACGACATGGCCACTATTGCAAGCACACACTATATGTACATAACATATATGCCACAACAGTTTGCAAGTGTTGAATTTTCACAAAGTAGCCAATTTTACCAGACATAAATAATCTTGTACCAATTTTTAGGCATTTTAAAAGGAATTAAATGTCCTAAATATATCCGTTCCTCTGCAAAATTAAGAAGAAAAAAAAATCCTAAAAAGTCAGTGCAAATTGAACTTGTTCACCAAGATAGATTCTTATTAAGCTGAGGATAAACAAAGTTTAATAGATTAAAGGAAGAAACTCATAGAACTGCCAACTGCCTTTAGCAGAAGTTAAAGAAGACTAGGAATCAGAAGTCCTGGATCCTATAGCAGAGCCTTCTGTGAGTAGCTATGCTGTGGTTGCTGAGGTGGCTGAGGCTGTGGTTGCTGTGGAGGTGCTTGTTGACTGCCTGCTGTCTGTGGCAGAGATGTGGATGGTAAGTTATAGTTTGGCACCTGGGACATATTAGTTCCAGTGTTCTGATAAGCAGTGACATCAACAGTAGCAGGTGGTGGACTATACACTGAAGCCTGGTTAGAGTAAGTATTTCCAGCAACAGAGCCAACCATTGCACTGGAAAAAAAAGAAGTAAAAAGTTGAATTGGCAAACAATGTACCAACAGAACACAACACTTTATTGCATCCTCCACTGTTCTACACGCACACACAAAACTCCCCTAACTCTGGACACCTTGCATATTTAAAACTGTAGCCAGTGAATATTCCAATTAAAACTCAAAGACACTCCTCAGATTTAAACACACCTAACACACCTCCCCCACTGAGTTAAAACTAGACTGAATCTACTTTATTTTATTTTAATGTGGAATGTGGAATCACATCTATCTTCCATTCTGCTCATGAAAACAAACCAAAACCCAACTGTTTCAAATAGTGAACCAAGTCAAGTGAAATATGCAGAAACTGGCTTTACCAATGTATGTCTTACCACTCAAAACATGTAACTTCTGGGGACAGAGACTAACCAATACTTTAATAACTCAAGATGGATGTCTCTCCCAACTTTATAAAATAAAATTATTTTATACAGACAGTAATAATTAATAACACCCAACCTAATTTTTCTTAAGGTCAACTCAAAACCTTTCATAATATGGGTAGTTTAGCCAAAGCTTAGCATCTTTGGGCATCCACGCAAAACAGACACCCACTTGTAGCTCCTTTACATGGGGAAGCCATGTAACTTCCAGTAAGTATTCATAGCCCATTCGCTTCCTTTCCAAACTGAGCAGAATTCTCCCCATGTTTCTACAGTCAAATATTAGAGAACAATACAATACACACTATCTCAGAAATTATGCAAAGCCAGCCAGAGCAGCAGATATCATCATCATTAAATGTCTATTAAAAGTTATCATAGAAAGTCATGTCTATAGCACTTTCTCTATTTTTTCTTTTATATAAAAGAAATAGATATAAATTACATATTCCTCATGTACAAAATAAAAACCTAGAGAAAATCATTAAAAAAAAAAGAAGGTAAAAATTTGAAGTTTGTCAGGAATTTTTACCAAATTCACAACACCACCAAAAAGCACACTGGAAATAATTGCACTGAAGTTTCTGTCAGTTCCATTTAAAATTATACTTCTAGAAGAAAAAAAAAAATCTCCTTTAAATATTTTCTGTCGCTCTGTATGTTTAAATTCATCTAAACTTGAATAGGAAAATATTTAAGATTACTTTGTGTAGGATGCCTGTGCAGGCTGACCAGGCAGTACTGAGCTGGCAGATGGAGTAACTGTGCCTTGGCTAAGAGAAGACAGCTGCTCAGGAGGAAGGTTGTAGCCTTGAATATGGCCCATCTGTGCACTCCCTGCCACCAAATACGCATTGCTTTGAGGTTGCCCCGGATAAACCTAGGAAGTTAAATAAAGAAATATTAAAAACAAAATACAAGAAATTGTATTCAATATCTGACTTTGGTATTCAATATCTGACTTTAGAACTTAAAATACAGACTCTCAAACCTTTCTATTTCAGACGTTTTAATAGAAAGCAACTGATTGTCTCCAATTAAGTGTCACAATGCAAAAAAAACAATTATCAGATTTTCAAAGGACATTATTTACATTTCTAATCTCAGGCTTCAGTACCAGAAAGGTCGAACAGTTTACTGGAAAACTTGTATTCCAAATTTTATTTTAATGACTAACACTCATGCTAACTACTTTTGAATGAAAATACCAAAGAATTTAAATCATGTAACAAATAACAGCCCAGAGGAGAATACTTTTTTGGTGCCCAGATGACTTTCATAAGGTATAATCACTAAAATGGAAAGTCAGTAATGTATTGGTTTTGTGTCGTTACTTAACCTGTCGTATCATGTAACTGTTGAGATTGCCATTACAGAATTGTTTGAGTGGGACAGAAGAGAAAATTTGAACTGAATATAAGGTAATGTTTTACAACTAGAGGACTAGCTTGTTAGCAGATGAGTCAATTAAATCAAGATTGAATTTGTAAACTGAATTTAATAGTGAATTATTTGGTTTAACACGAATTACCAGAATTATCAAGTTTCATGCACAACTTACATGTGTTCATGTAAGTTTATGATATACAGCTCTTCTATCTTAAACTCCATGAATTGCAGGTGACATTCATAGAAGCAAAGGCATGAGACCTCTTAACTTCTCAGAACTTTATACTGGCTCATCTTCACCACAAAATCCAGTTTTTCACTTTAAGAATCCCCAGAAACATGCCCATTTAAAAAATATTAAAATTATTTGATAGGGTCACGATATGATTGCTTATCACAACAACATTTGAATGGAAGACAATATTCCTCTTAATGACACTGAAAAAACATATATTATCTTCTTTAAAAGCCACTGAACGTACATATTTGTTGGAAGCTACTAGATTATTGGAAAAAAACAAAACAAACCCAAAGCCATTTGAAATGTTATATATTCCTATAAACAGGAAAAGACTACAGGAAGCGTGTATTAGACTATGGAATTAAATGTTTAAGTGCTTAAAAATACCATAGTATATGAATAAGTCAAAAGACCTACCCAGAGATAAGAGTCAATTATATGGAAATGCTGCCATGAAAGAACTATAATCCTTAACTTCAATAATTTGAACACTAAATGCTCTCCACTGATATTTCAAAAAAAGGAAACTAAAAGAAGAAGTTGAATTTACAGTGGCATAACCTTAACCAGGAATTGTTCTCCTTTGGTTCTTTTTTTTTTTTTTGACCCACCATGCAAAGCTCTGGCAGCTTTCATTTTTAATTTTATGTGCACCTCAAAGCACAGGATGGGTGTTTTCCTTGATCAAAAAGTTCTGAACAGAAAAGAACCTGCAAAAGGAGAGTATCCAAAGCTTGCAGCTGAAAACAAACAGTATTTTATTGGGGGGGTTGGTTTTTTTGCTGGGGTTTGGTTTTGGTTTTTTTTTTTACATATTGTATTGAGAGAAAACACTGCTCTTTCATTTGAGATCATCTCTGAGAGTGCAAGATTATTTTAACCCAGCATTAAGGTAACAAAGATAATAAAATGAGGTTTCCAACTCAGGGAGTGAGGGGAGTGAGAATACAAGGATAGAAATAGGAAAAACTATTACTTGCAATCAACATGCTCCACCATACTTTATATATCAGTATATATTTATTTTAGTAATGTAGAGAAGTATAGTGTAAAAAAAATATTTGAGCAAGTTTTGTAAGAACCTTAGCTCATGAAAAACTGTTTATCAGTAACAATTTAAGAAATCAACCATAGCTCAGTAAGTACTTGATAGCCTAAATGGCCATTGGAAGTTACATACATACCTGAGAGCCAGAAGCGCCAGATGACTGCATGTAATACTGTTGGTTTTGTAGTTTTGCATACATGGAATACATAGGGTCTTCATTCATCAATTTGTTATACAAAGAAAGAGCCTCCATTGCTTTAACATTGAGCTCTGAAAGTTCTGAATGTTTCCTAGAAAACACATTTTGCAATTTATTCTACAATTTAGATAACTTCAGTACAGAGCAGACAATACGAGGAACTTTCCACGAGGTGGGATATGCAACATATTCTTACTGCCTGTGAAGTGATGCCTGACAAGTGCCAGAATGTCAAATGGTACAATACTATAAAATATCATGTGACTATGGAAAAAAAACCCCTCATGCCTCATCCCAGATGAGAAGCTACTAATAAATATACCTGTTTTCTTTTCCAGTATTCTTAGAAACTAACATATGATTAAGCAGCAACGCTTCTATTTCTAAGACTGAATCTTAACATGAATCAAAATACATGACTTTTTTTACCTGTCTATATCTTCCAACTTTTCATCTATGAGAGGTCCCATCTGGTGGCACATTGCTAGAATTGAAAGACATTAAAATCTATCAGAGTAATAAAGATTTCCACACTGTAGAGTCAAAAAGCAGCTTTTTTAAAAAAATTATTGGATAGAAAATGCGTGGATGCTAATTCTTTACGCTAAGAAAGTTATAGTAACAGAGGTAGTGTCACAAACAATGTAAGGATGAGATACAGCTGAAGTTTTCAGTAGCGGTATGGTTTTAAAAGTACATTTAAAAAACAAAATACAACTAGGGCAAAACAAAACATTTAACATCTGGGGAGCATAAAGCTGAAACTGTTTTGCGTAAAAAAGTTCAGGTAAATCTGAAAGGCAAGCTCTTCTTCAAGAAAGAAAATCTGCCACTGCAACCTAGACCATGTGCTCAACTAACATTGCTACAGAAAGACTATATATGAAAACAATGAAAGGGGAAACAGGTTCCAATGATACAAATAATGTGCACATCAAAGACACTTACAGCACTTTGCTATCTCACTGGAATCCTAATAGGGGTAAGGGGACTTTTTCAAACCACTAACACATGCAAAACAAAAACCAAACAAGAACACAAAAATTTACCAGAAGTAGAATGGAAAAGCATAAAAATAAACAAAAATGCACCCCCTGCCAACTTTCAGCACAATTACATGGGGTTCATGTAATTGCCAAGCAAACCACAGTTAACTAGCAAAAAGACAGAGTCTGCCAAATGTGAAACAGTCAGGGTAGCTGGAAGGGGATGCTACAGTCTAACCCAACTCCAGAATGCAAGATGTGACCACTTATTCAAGCAATGAAATATTTACTAATCAAGATATGCGTTTAATCCCAAGCACCACTCAACATTAAAACTGAGAGATAAGAAAAGGCATCAAAGTTGATCTAAATGCATTATAAGCAGCTGTGAAACACTGTCTTCACTCCCAGTCTTCCCAAATTAAGAGATGCAGAAGGTCCTGAAAGCCTCTGGCCATGACTGGTCAAAGAGCACCACTGATGTGTTCCTTGGAGGCAATTCCAGGAAAAAAGGACATGTATAAAAGGCACCTATCTGCTTCTTTGAACCTGGGATCAATAATACATTGGCAGAAACACTGGGAAAAGATGTAAAACCCAGTGTAAGTTATGCCTATTTTTATGTGGAACAGAGTATGTCAAAGGCATGAGAAGGATTGATTAGATTTCTGTACGCTAACATGATGATTGCACTGCTGCCAACCACAAACCCTCGGCTCTGCAAAGTGTTGGGATGAGCTCGCCAACGTAAAGATGTTTGTGACTGGACAACTGGATGGCAGAAGAAAATGAAGTGGTTTGATCAGCACCTGCCACCACTGATATGAACAAAAGATCCAACACACATCTATAACAAAATGCCCAGAATCTATGCCAAAAATAGTAGCTGCCCAAGGCCTACTTGAGTGTAAATACAGTCATGCATATGCCATTGTAGAACTATGTGCAGCCATGTGTTTGCCAAGCACTGTTGTAGGTAGCTGGGAAGCTATCATATGACTACACTACAGCTTTCAGATTCCAGGAGCAGTCACATGGTTTAATATAAAATTCATCATTGTTCTAAGGATCTCACAATGTGTTTTGAAAGGAGATCCTAATGTAAGCCATATCTGGAGGTTGGTTGACAAGCATACCTTTAATTTCTTTACCTCTGTCTTGGACCAGATATAGGCAATCTGCTTCTTAGACAACAGCCTCTGTAGCTATATTTGGTACTATTGGAAAGAATAAAACCATTCATGTTTCTTTTTACCCTTCTTTAGCTTTAGTGGAACTAGAATACATGCAGACATGTCACTGATGTGCAGTACCTAAAAAGGGAATTTTTTTTTTTACAGGTATGATGAACCAGGTGGGTGTGGAAAGACAGGTATTATCCAAAAGCTTTCAAAGCATATGCACTTTTTTCTGACTTACTTCTAGACAGATAGGTCTGGAATGTGCCATTTTCTTTAAAAAATTCTTGTCCTCTCTCAATTGTCAATAAAATAAAAAATTGTTGATAAAAAGCCAACGTTGTCTTATAATAAGTAAGTTTCTTTAGTTCCTTCTCCAAAGTTCGCTCGCAAAAATTTTGATACATCTATCAACCCAGGTAAAATGGTCTACAAGGCCTCTTTGAAGAGGTAGTCTGAATAATTTGAGCTTAAAGAACTAGTCTATTTTGTAGCACTCTAAAGAATTTGTTAATATTAAAGTCCTACAGAAATACACATGATGTGAAAAGCACATGTGGGATACCCACAGGCCTATTTAAGCCTCAGTAGTATTTCTGCTTCCTCTCATGGAATCTTCCTCACACTCCTTTTGCAACTCATGCTGTGCTACTTTATGAAGGGGAAAAAAAAAGGAAAAATAAAGGATAAATAAGACTGAAAAGCATTCCCAGCTCTTGAAAAAAAAAAAAAAAAAGAACAGAGAATACATATTTTTAGAGAGGAGTGGACTTTTTTATTTTAAAACTTTGCACTTTAGTCTCTTAGATGTGGGAAACAGGAAGTGAGAAGATAATTACAGCTCAAGCCCTTCTGCATGCTTGTAGCATGAACATGAAGCTGAAATAGTTTCAGCTTAGTTTCAATTAGGTTTGATAGAGGTAATTAGTATTATTAGTAATTAGTATTATATAATTACAGAGATGAAAACAACAACAACAAAAAAAAACAGTAACATCTTCTTACCCTCAAGATGAAGCAATTCTGGGAGGTCTGGCTGGTCATCAGATGGATCCGCACTTTGTAACATCTGCAAGAGTTGGTCCATTTTGTCCTAGAACACAAATTGTGTAATTAGGGCATATGTGGGTGTGGGAGAATTAACACTTTCAGCACAGTAAATTAGAGCAGCTATTTACAAAAGCCATTTTGACCTCTTGGGCTTTGGACTTAACTTCAAGAAAATACAAACCATGCATGCTACTCTACAGGAATGCAGATGCCCAAACAAGGGAAAGCCAAATGATAAAAACTGTTACCATTTCTTATCACAAGTGGATAAAAATACAAGCAGAATGTGCAGAATACTCATTTCTAGGAGTCCTTCTAAATAGTATTTTCTGAGCAGTTTCTATTTTTCCCTTTCCCACTATTACAGATGCAATGTCACCACCTAGTGGGATTAGTGGAAATGTTTTGACAGAACGCATTGAGAGAATAATTTAAAAAGAAATGGGTACTTAAAACTAAATTCACTGAAAAACTATCCTGCATTCTGTAAGTGTATGAGGCCTATCTGCACATAAGCAACATCATCACTAACATATATGAAAGGTTTTTTTTAAGATGACATTTGGCCAGTTTGCATGGTTGACTTCAGAGTAAGCCATCCTTCGTTAACCAGTTGAAATGCAACCCATTTATAAAAGTACCAAAGGGTAGAAAATTAATAGGCATAAACTCTTTCAAAATTACGTCTTGGAGTAAACTATACTGCTTAACCAAACAGTACATCTAAATGATTGAAAAAAAGTCATTTTTTAGCTGAGTGCTATTAAGTAAATAGCTTTTAACAGGCCAGAGTTATATAGAATCATAGAATCAACTAGGCTGGAAAAGGCAGTATCAAAGTGGAAACTAAAACCAAGTTTTTTCTTCCCTAATCCCATGAAAAGCAGGAAGAAGCCAGATGAACTACTTTCTTAAAAGAGTACGGTAATTTTAAAAACAAGACAATAAAACATAAACCAACATGGAACCACAAAAGACAAAAGGAAGGCACCTCAAGGTGGGCCTGAGATAAGCTATTTCAGCGAATCACAAACTAATATCTGTTGGGAGGAAGGGTATTTGAGGCAGGAGTTAAACAGGACTTTAGGAAGGCAGTAACTAATCCTTCATTCAAAAAACAATTACTGAACCTAGTTGAGAAAGAAAGGGAACAATTCTAAAGACAGCAATTCTAAGCCCTCTGGTAGGGAAAGGGGAAAGATTAAAAGGAAAAAAAAGGTAGAAAAAAAGGCGGCAGAGGAAAACATCCTGGGCTCAGAGGGGAACCTTGCAGAATCACTGTGGAGAGATTGTGCAAATCTTGCTAAGTATAACTTACACAGAACAAAAAGCTCACAGTTTTCAGAGAAGGAAAGAGATCTTTCAGACTGGGGGAAGACAGTGGTGGTTACAGTGGAACTAAATCTAAAACAGTATTCAAGATGGGTATCTCCAAGGTATCTTGAAGTACTTAAAACAAACTTGAATGCAAATGTGTTACTCCACACCAAGCTTCTAGTTTGGAGGTGAACAGCTGTACAATCCTAGAGTAGGGCCCTAAATGGAATACAGTTTCCATATTCAGTTTCAGAAACTCCTAAGAACTTCAAAACACATGAACAAATTAGAATACTGCACTTTTTTGTTTTTAATTAGTAACTTTCCCTTCCTATTCATTTTCTTTTGTTTATGTTCTCCTGATATTTCAAATTGGTTTTGAAATACATGATGAAAGGGTTAAACATCACATATTTAAATGTACCAGCAGTTGAAAATCAGTACTTTTATCATGCTTACTTCATCAATATAAACTGGTTCAGGCTCAGGTTCTATAGTCTCTACTTGAACTTCATCACTGAACTGCACTGTTTTCTTCTCAGCTTTCACTGTAAGATGAAATAGACAAGCAGTTTACTATAAAATAAAAATAAACAAAACAATGGCACAAGTATACAGCTAGCGTGTTGCTTAAGTTCTTCATATTTCAAATATCTATTGTGAGAATTTAAGAAAAAAATAGTATTTTGTTGACATTTGAAGGCAAAAACCTTCTCCACATACTTAATTTTTTAAAACAAATCTGTAAACTGCTTAACAGACATCAGTTCAGACAGGTTCAATTGAAACATGTCTTAGCAAGTAAATGTCTGTATTGCAGTCTCCCTGCACATAACATACTTGTTATTAAGTATCAAGAAAATAAATTAAGAAAGAGTAATTGGAAAAAATAGAGCTAATAAATCAGGATTAAGAGAACACTGCTAAAATCATCCATGACAAACCAGAGCCTTCTTTTCTCCAGAGCAAAGTATAGAATTGAAAGTTCTCAAATTCTGCTCTTCTTTCTTCATCAAATAGTACCTGCGAAAGCATCTTACTCTCCTGTAGTGGAGGCCACAATAAAAAAAAAAACAACCTACATATTTGGAAAAAAAGCCAAGTACTACTTTTATCATACTACTCTTATCAGTTCGTCTTAACATACAACCAATGACCCCTACAGCATGTAATTCTGCTCATACCTATGGCACACTCGTATTGAAATCACAAGAGATTAATCTTGCAAACCCATCAGATTTACGGAAATCAGGTCTAGAATCTTAAAACCTTGTCGCATATTTAGTATTTGTATTAAATATTTACAGTAGGTTAGATGATAAAAATACATAGAAGATAAGCAGTGCAGAAGAAACCCTCTTTCCATTATGCACACATATATACCTACAGTATGGAGGTTTCTTGAATTGTCTGAACTGTGGTAACCTGACTCCAATGACTATCTGCCCAGGGGCTTTCAGGTTTTCCTTGATTAGGTAGGTACCCTTGCAACTAAGCAAAAAGGCAATTTGGAAAAAAACTGCTGTTGCCTGCATCTCTCTAGATTTCAATGGAGTTCTTAAGTAAGTCGCAAAGAAGCTACTGACAAAGCCAGCAGCAGACAGGACCATATTTTTCAGCAAATACCAGCTTGGGCAACCTTGGTCTGACATAAACGTATGACTGTTGTTTGTGAGCGCAAAGCAAAGGCTTCTCAGTTTTGAGTATCATCTTAACTTGCAGCTGAACTCTATCATAAGGGAAGGTAAATCACTACAGAAGTATCCTGTGAGCCATGGCAAGGCTTAATATAGATACATAAATGTAATGTTACTTACTCATTTCTGGCTCAGCAGAAAGATCAGCTGTTACAAAGTTAGATGGAAACAATCCTATACCCTGATGAGTTTCACCTTTCCACCAATTTGGATCACTAAAGATAAAAAAATAATTAAAGCACCCACACATTAATAATACTCACATGAATCTTCCTAATAATTGCCTTGTACAAGGCATTTTTATTACTTGTACATAAATACAATTTGTATTGATGCAGAAATATTTATACAAGAATCTTTATGCCATTACATTTGCATGTAAAAAAATCTAGGAGATAACTAAATAAAGTATTTAATGTTTAAACATATTTTATCGCAATGGTATTCTAATGCATGCTTCTACATAGGAGATATCCTAGCCAATTGATTTTTACAGTCTACTGTACTTCTAGTAAGCATTCTATATAAATTACCTGTCATCAAGGATAGTTATAAGTTCTCCAGCTTTAAAAGTTAATTCATTGTCTTCAGCAGCCTCAAAATCATAGATTGCACGAACTTTTCGGCCTTCATGTTTGTGATTTGTTAAAAGGCTTGAGGTGCTCGGATACAAAGAGGAAAGTGTTGCTTGCTGTTGCCTTTGCTCTTTCAGTGACAGTTCAATAGCTACAAAAGAAGAGGCATTAACATGAAAATTCCCTATAAAAATAGTTTTAATTATATGAAAATTTAGCTCTGTGAAAACTTCTAATATATTGCCATTCCTGTTGCACCATGATCAACTTCTGCCTTTCACTTAGAAATAATGGTAAAAAACAAAAAAGATTTTTTACAACTAGAGAGCACAATCTGCCCAGAGATTTACTGAGGTTTTCAACATGCACAGGTTGAATAAATAGTACGTAAGTATGAACAGGATAACTCAGTGAAGTCATCCATTTTTTATTATTAAAATGCTGTTATTACCTTGAACTGATGTAAAGTATCAACATCCTTACTAATATATACATGATGTTGAACTTTCCACATCACTTGAAATATTAAAAAGATACAACTGCTCAGGCACACACTGTTTCTCTGTTAGATCAGGAGTTTGTAGCTTAGATACACAGAATTGCACAGATTTGTTAAAGTTGGAAGACACCTTGGAAGGTCATCTTGTTCAACCCCTGATCATGCAGGATCACCTGCAGCTGGCTGCCCAGGACCATGTCCAGACAGCTTCTGAATAGCTCCAAGGGTGGATACTCCACAACCTCCCTGAACAACCTCTGCCAGTGCTGAGCCCAAAGCCGTAATACATTCAAGGGCTAACACTTGATGCCTTTACATTGCTGAAGTTTGACATCAAAAACCAGTATCTCAACCAAAAAGATCAAACCAAAAAGAGGTAACTCTTCACACATGTCTCATTAAGGATCATTAAATGACCATTAAATATACTTTAGTACAATAAATCAGAAGAAACCACCCTAGTTTTTTTTATTGGGACTGCAGTGAGACATTTGTAATTCATGCTTAGAGCAATCAAAGCCTCAAAGTATACCACAGAAGCAGTATTCAAACGAATAAAAGTTTAGAGTACCCAAAATACTTTCATACAATTTATACTATAATCCGTATTTTGTCCATCCATCAAATGTTTAAATTGCAAGTGAATGTGCTTCACTTGCCCCAGAGAAAGGGAAAGGAATGGAAATCATAACCACAATCCATAAATATACTATTCATATAGGAATACCACAATCCATAAATACACTATTCATATAGGGAAGCAAAACATTTGTTCCTGGTTTATTTGACATTTACCAATATATTCATTAGATCAGCAAGTAAATGCACTCACCTTTAGCTAAATCCTCCTCTTCCTTTTTGTTGGCTACTGTACCAGGATCTTTGGCAACTAGAGCTGGACTTGCTTTTGCCTGTTCAGCAGCCTGGCCAAAGTGAAAGATGTAAAAATTAACTCAACAAAAAACTGACAATGCATTATGTTCACCATTTTGATCTGTATTCATCTGCAGTGTAAAATTCTAAGGTAAGTCAGAGCATTTTGAGATGATCTTTTGAGGTCCCTTCCAACCCTTGAGATTTCACCCTTCAAAGGAATGTTCTATTAAGACAAGACAGTTTTTATGTTTGACAAACACAAAATTCAAGACTGCAAACTATAAAATACGGAACTGAGACTAAAGAGAATTTGTGATGCCCTTTAAGAACAACCACAGAATTTAATATACCTGTGAACCAATAGCTGGAAAAGTAACTCCTTGCTCTTTAAGATTTTTTATCATAGCAGATATTAAACTAAGCTGTGGGTCATTCTTGAATTCATCAGTCCATTCCACCATAAGGGCTTTCAGCTTTTCACAAACTTTTGGATGACCCTGCAAGAACAGTAGAAACTAGTTACATAATGTAGGAATCTGTTCTAAATTACTTCATATAAAATAATTTCATGTTACTCTCAATATAAACTACATAAATACTTTATTTTCAAGTCAACTGTATCATTAAAGGATATCTTTGTTAGAAATAGAGACTAGTACACCAGCATTGTGTTTGTACAATACATATTAGGCCCAAAATAAAATAAAACAAGGTTATATATAAGCTCTGCATTATCTCCATTTCACCACATCTGTATTTAGCATTTCATTGCTGTTATTTAACGTGAAAATGAATTTGTATACTTACAAATTAACACACCACGCACCACCTCCCACAGACAGAATATGTAACTAGTGTCAAGTGGCATTCAGGAAGTTCTTTCTCACAGCCACAGTCTTCCCAGTAACCTTGTATCCTCCTCCCCAGCTCCCAGATTTCCAGTCTTCCAAAACTAGTTTCCATTCCACTTTCAGATTACCCCAATTCTCTGTATGATTTCACTTTTCTATGAATTGTATAAACCAATGCAATACATTACCTTATTCAACACATTGCTTACTTCACTGGCAAAATCTCTTGAACAGACTTCTAGATGAAAGATTTTACCACAGTTTGATACACAAGCTCCTAGAAGCTAAAGAAAGAAAGATTAAAACTCAGAGAATATATTTTGCAATATAATTGTTCACAAAGTGAAAGCATTACATTAAAAAGAGCCTACTGTTAATGCTTGCATAGCAACATGGGGATCTTTATGGTTCACTCTCTTCATAATAGAACGGAGACAGTCCTTAGGCCTGAAAAACACAAGACAGATTTTAAAAGATGTAATGGAATGAACATTTCCTACTGTACACCTGATAACACTTACAAACAGTAACATTGTCAGTAAATTATTTAGTAGCATATAAGTGCAACATTAAAAACAATAGATTTACACTTCTAGTAGTTGCACCCAGTTCTACCTGTAAGATTGCTAACTTTCTTACTTATCAAAATGTGTCAGTAAGTTACATTACCTTTTGTAGTTATAGCTAAATACTGTAAATATTCTAGAAACGCATAAAATTCTCTGTACTCCATGCACCCGCTCCTCTGTATTTCACATACATATGTAAGGATATTTGCTTACATATTGATCACTGACACCCTTTTGTTAGGTTGATGAGGTTTTTTTATATTACCACCACTGTGTTCCTCAGTCTCTTCTCATCTACAGAGTATCATTTATAAAGAATATATGCAATAAACCAGTAAGCCCTAAAAGACCCTATTAGAACATTCTACATCAGTTTCAAAACCATTGAATACAGAATTCTAAGTATTATCTACACTGTGGTAGATAGTGTGAAAAACAAATTTAAGAAATAATTTGAATGGGGGTTTCAGACACAGTATAGCATACTAAAATCTGTGTGATTTTCTGTTGTTCTGTTGTCTTTAAAGGTAGTAGAAGGCTGAGAGAGGCTGGGGTAGGAACTGTGACTGGCGTAAAAGCATTACCTGTTGAATAGATCTGAAAAGGTACCCTGAAAGAGGGTAAGTAGGGAAAAAGGAAAAGAGGAGGTGTATTTAAACTAAGAGATTTGATGTACTTCTGGAATATTTATGGTACCTTTTTGGGGTGGGGGAGTAAAGGCTACCAAAATTATTTTTCTATTCAACTGATATCCAAGAACTAACATGAAACTCAGGTATAAGTTACACCACAGCTTGGCTATACTATATTTGGCAGTGCCTACATTTTACAGAAGTGTCCACCTCATATTTAGTAGTACTAATTTTAGAAAATGCTATCACACAGCAAGACTACTTATCACTCAGTGTATACCTTCATATAACCAACTATTAAAAATGAAGGCTATAAGGCAAGCACTGCCTTTTATCTATTAATTATCCATGCATTATCATGCATTCACTTTAACTGAGAAAGAATACAGGCCAAAATTTTCAGAAATAACTGACTTTTTTAACCATTAATTTAATAGTAGGATTACCCATGTGATACAAGTGTGAGCACAAAAAAGCACATGTCCATTAATTGTTAAACCAGTATTTATAAAGGTAGGGTGCAGGTTCAAGAGCTTAGCAGTTCAGGAACAGCACCATTAGCCTGACATTTTTATTAAGGAATCCCAAGTCTTATTAAAAAGTAATAAAGTTCCAAGAAAGCCTCAAAGGCAAATAATGTTCCATACATGTCAAGTAAAATTTTGAAGAGGCAAAAAACCACGTAAACCCCTCAGTAATTCATAAGAATACCTTATCTATTTGCTCACATATTTAACAGAAATTATCACTATTTGAGTGTTACTGTTTTAACATGCTCCAACAGTAAAAAAAAAAATAATCTTTTCCTTGTATCTACACCAAAAAAAAACAACCCAGGCTTACTGATGTTTAGTCACACAGACTAAGAATCCCTATTCTAGACAAATCTGTAATCCTTATTTTTACTTCAAATTAATCCATCATACAATTTAGCTTGTAAAAGAAAGTGAAAAGCATTATACAGAAATTTGAGGGAAGGCACATGCCCCATGAGAACAGAATTCTATGTGTTTCTTAGACACCTCTCCAGATGCTATACAAATATTGGTCCACAGTTCAGCTCCAACAGTTCTACAATCAAAATTTCAGAGGCAGCACAGTCAGCAGGAATAACAAATCATTTAATACATTTTCAGGAATTTATTGTTCTGTTACAGTCTAAGGTAACTTGACTGTGGGGCTCATGACTACACAGGTGACTAAATTTTCCTCCTTGCTTCTTTAAAAACAAGCTAGTCAAAGAGCTTCCTGGTTAGCCTGTTAGACGTATACTGCACTGCTACTGAGGTTAAGTAATTTGGGGGAACAAGGAAGGTTGGAAAGAAAGGAAGGTAGCTTGGAAGACTATCAAGCAAGCAGTTTTACTGTTGTCTCTTGTACAAACAGGCACAAAAACAACCAAGAAGAATCATCTAATCAGAATATTGACTCACTGAGGCAGTGATTAATCCAGAAGAAATCAAGACAGAGTTAGGCAAGCAGCAACATAGACAAACCATTTCCCAGTGACAATTTTTCCCAGCAGAGAGTGCTGCAATTAACATTTCTATTTTCTCAACTGTTGGTGAATTTTCACTGACTTCATTTTTTTTTTCCAGCTGTCATTTTTATTAAGTAACTTTTCTGGAGAAAAACTGATGATATAGCTTCAAATATAAAAGTACAAAAGGTATAAAAGTACAAAAGGTATAAATGTACAAAAGGTACAACCATCTCAAAGCAAACAGAATTAGCACTTGGCTAACACTGAACTCACTGAGGAAGGAGTGGTGCTTCATGCTAAAATATACCATATGTGGCCTTTAATTTTCTCATTTATTATGCTTAATGAATCATTCAGATTTTATAATGTTATTTTACTCAGAGCTGATAAACTATAGATTCAGTTGTGTAAGGATTTCCATTGCAGAAAACCAATACTGTGCAAAAATCTGTATCTTTTCTGTAGGAAGATGATTCAAAATGCCAGTCAAATATGATAAAAATAAAATAAAAAATACACAAATTTTTAATAATGCTGTGTAAAAAGAAAAAAAAACTCAGGGGAAAAGAAAAAGCCTCTGACAGTAAAACCTTTGTTTTAATCATGTTCCCATGCTGAAAAGGCAGCTTGCTCACTACCAATGTTCAAAAAAAGTGGGGTGCAAACAATGTAATATGTAACTGCTGAGCTGTACAAGTTCCTGAAAAAAATTCAGAGATTAAAAACAAAGTTTTGATTGTCTTATAGTTAGACAAATCAAAGTGATTTTTTGAACACTTCTGTTCCTGGCTTTTTTGTTCAAAAAATGTGTAATGCCCTTCGAGACATGGTTTAGTGGTAGTCTTGGCAGCCCTTGGGTAAAGGTTTAAAAATTTATCTTATGAGAAAATGTAGCACCTTTGTGACGTAACAGTTAACAACAATTCTTCTGGATGCAAACAAGTTTTTGGCAGACCTAAATAAGACAATGTATCATGTAACACTGTAGGACAAAAAGTCCTTGTTCACGAAGAGTAGTTCTTCTAGTCTACTGTGGCTTTAGGTATAAGATGATCTAAAATGCTGCAGGCATGCAATGGAGCTTACAGACTGGTACACAGAAAACCATTTGCTAGTGACATTGGATTTCTTTGGACTAGCTTTTGTGTAGGTCTGTAACTTCTTCCAGCAACAGACAGCTTGCATTGGAGCAGAACTGGTTAAAAGATTAAAGCATATCCCAGTTAAGAAGACTAGCATCCTTGCCACAGGAACTTAAACTGCAGGAGGATTTCAGTGTAGCACATCTTATTTAAACTTAAAATGAGGAACCTTGTCTTGCTTTACCTTGCTTTGGAATGACATAATACATTAAATCAAAGAAAACCCACTATCAGCAAGCTTAACAGATTCTGAATTTAAGCTATGAGTCAGCTGACAGCCTATTATTACAAGCAGGGTAAATATTACAAAGGTTAAAGTCACAGACAGGATAAACCCACTGTTTTATTACACATGAAAAAAAAAAACCAAAAAAAAACAATCAACCAACAACCAAACAAAAACACACACACACACACAGTACCCCAAAACCAACCAAATAAAACCCAAAAACCGTAACACAAATGCCAGCTGTCCCATAGCAATTTAGCCACACTTTCCTGGAAGATCTCTGGTTTTGTCTGTACACCCAAGCAGCCGTCTCTTGCCAGTTACATACGTTTGAGCACTGTCTAGGCTAAAGTTGCTGTGAGACTAAATCTTGCCTGTGGAAATGTTTTCAGTGATTAAACAGGATACTGAAGCCTTCAATAATATTGTTACAGGCTCAGCATCAATATGCACAAGGAGCAGAAATGCAGTTTGATATATACAGACTAATGTGAAACATTATTATCAACTGTTATTTTAACTACAACTATACACAGCAGCACAGAAGTCTCAATATGCCATGCTATTTATAAACACTCCTCTGGAGACCATCTCTAATCCCAAGGAATAATCTTATTTGCAAACCTGTCTTTTGAAACAGAAGTCCCAGATGGGAATTTGGTGTCTGACATGTTACACTGTTTTCCTGCAGGTTTAGAAGGCAATCCAAGTCATTCTCAGAGAAGCCTTTCACTAAACAGCAGCAATGGCAAACTCTTTTTAAGGCTATTCTTTAGCTTTAGAACTGAACTGTTACAGGGAATGCTTCAGATGTATATAAAACATTTACAAAGCCTAGTACTACACTGAATAAAACCACTAGATACACTAAAATAATGTCTTTAAACTGTATTTTTATTTGCTAGCTCAAATTGTGCTTTAACATTTCATGTCCAAAAAACATGTGCATGCATAAATTCTATCAGAGCTCAGTAAAGAATCAATAATGAAAGCATTAGCAGACCATATTAAGATGTGTTTAATTTAGTATCACATTTTCAAAATGTATATTTATTAAAGTTCTGGTGACAGAAAATATCTTCTTCAAACAAGGGAAAGAAACATAGAGCTTCATTGTTTTCTGTGACAAAGACACTGGTGGCCTGTTGGTGAGAAGGAAAGGGCAGCAGATGCTTTATACCTCAGTCTTAGCAGTTTCCACATACAGTGGAAGCTCATAGTCTCCTTATCACTCAACTGGTGAAACATGGGCTGGATAAAAGGATGGTAAGTTGGGTGATAACTGGCTGGCCTCCTAAACTCCTCAAAGAGTTGCCAGCCAGTGGTACAAATTCCAGCTAGTGGACAGTAACTAGTGGGGTCCCTTAGGGATCCCTGCTGGGACCAACACTGCTAAATGTCTTCACTAATAACCTGAATTATGGGAGGCAGTGCACCCTCAGCAACTTCACTTTGACAACAGCAAAGTGGAGGGGAGCAATCAGTATACTGGAGGGCAGGGCTAATCTTCAAAGGGACGTGGATGGGCTGAAGAAATGGGCAGACTGGAACATCATTAAGGTCAACAACAACAAGGACAAGGTGTTATCTTTCAGATCCTCTGCACCAGCAAAGGCCAGGAGCTAACCACCTAAAAAGCAGCTCTGGAGGAAAAGATCTGCAGGTCCTGTTGGGTGACAGGTGTCGGTAGTGCAGCCTGGCAGCAAAGAAAACCAACTTCCTTCTGGGTCAAACAAGTGGTCAGTGCAGCCAACAGGGCTGCTAAAGTGATCCTCCCCCTCCATTCTTGTAAGATGGCATCTTGAGTACTTTGTCCAGTTTGGGGCTCCCCAGCGAAAGAAGGGTATTGATGCATTAGAGTAAACCAAATTGAGAGGTGCCAGCATGGTCAGAGGGGAGTCTGACAAGAGATGGAGAACTGCTTTCAGTTTAATAATAGAATACATAGAAGATGGAGCCGGACTCTTTCTTAGAGCTGCAGTCATAAGACAAGATGCAACAGACAAGTTGGAACAGGGGAAATTGTAATCAGATTGCAGGGTTATTTATTTACTTACTTGAAGATAGTAAAATATTGAAACATGTTGCCCATAGAGGTTTTGGAAACTCTGACCCTGCAGGCATTCAAGACTCAACACGGTCCTGAGCAACCTGATCTAATTAGACCTGTTTCAAGCTGGAGGGTTGGACTACATGACCTCTGGAGGTCACTTCCAACCTAGATTATGATTCTATAAGAAAAAGCCCTCCTGATGTCTCCTAGGTTTACAATGACACTGCTAAAACATACCAGCTAATTTAGTCCATTACATTGGCAAAAATTTGCTGTACACAAAACCTAATTTTAACAGATCAGCCAGTATCTCCAAAGGAAGAACTGTAAAATATTTGAGCAGAAAACCCATACATTTTCCTTTTACTTGTAATAAATTTAATTGAGCTGTTGCAAAAGACTATATAAGCTAATAAAAATTTCAGTCCTCTCATCTGAGACTGACATAATAAAATTAAAAAAGCTTGGTGAGGAAATCTCTAAAGTCACTTACCCTGTGCGTGACTGTCCAACTTTGTCACAGATGTCTAAGATGAGGCCCCAGTCCTCTGCAGTGTTCATCTCACTGGTTGCTTTCTCTGATGAATAAAGATTAAAATATAAATTAAAAAAAATAAAATAATTTAACAAGATTGTCAACTGGGAGGAACAACCTAATGGCAGAATCTATTCAGCATCCAACTGAAAGTGCCAAAACATGAGAACCAAGCAGTGATACTGTATCCTGCTTATATAGAATCATAGAATAGCTAGGGTGGAAAGGACATTAACACCATCTAGCTCCAACCCCCCTGCCATGGGCACGGACACCTCACACTAAACCATGCCACCCAAGGCTTCGTCCAACCTGGCCTTGAACACTGCCAGGGATGGAACATTCACAACTGCCCTGGGCAACTCATTCCAGTGCCTCATCACCCTCACAGTAAAGAACTTCCTCCTTATATCCAATCTAAACTTCCCCTGTTTAAGTTTGAACCCGCTACCCCTTGTCCTATCACTACAGTCCCTAATGAAGAGTCCCTCTCCAGCATCCTTGTAGCCCCCCTTCAGATACTGGAAGGCTGCTATGAGGTCTCCAAGCAGCCTTCTCCTCTGCAGGCTGAACAGCCCCAACTTTCTCAGCCTGTCTTCATATCAGAGGTGCTCCAGCCCCCTGATCATCCTCATGGCCCTCCTCTGGACTTGCTCCAACAGCTCCATGTCCTCCTTATGTTAAGGACACCAGAACTGTACACAATACTCCAAGTGAGGTCTCACGAGAGCAGAGTAGAGGGGCAGGAACATTGTTTCATTACTCAGAATTTTGGTTTATTTAGTTGGGGATACTTTATAAATACAAGCAAATGAGATGACAGGGAAGAGAAGAAGGCAAAGAAAACCCACAGCAGAACCACACATTATACCTTTCCTACTTGTTTGTTTGGTTTTTGTTTCGTTTTGTTTTTAATATAGCCAGCTCTGGGTAATCTGCAGGCAGATTGTGCCACAAAACACCTGAATTGAATGACTTGCATAGAGAGCCATCACAGACAAAGACATTCTTCTGTATCATAGTCCATGAGCACAGCAGCTGCACTGCTACCAAAGCCAGCCTCATCTCTGAAGCATCATAACAACTTTTTTGAAACACAGATCATGAGCTGCCTATATGTAATTCCCAAAACTAAAAACAACTGGCAAGCACAGTCCAGAGACACACAAAACGCGCTGCATGGAGACAGTTTACTTCCACGACTCCACTGTTTCAGTGCCAATTCTGCTGGAGCTGGAGCAACTCCAGCCAAAGTGTGTCTGCACGGTGCTCTCCACAGCCTTAAGATCCCATCAGGCTCAGAGCTGACATCCAGCCTTGCAAACCCACACCGTTCACTCATACATAATGCTGTACTTCAGTTAGCTCATCCTTCAGCAGACAGCTGAACTACCCAATGGAACTGAAACATTGGCCTTTTCCATTATTCTACATAACAGTCAGTCATCTGTACTTCTGGCAACAATTGATCCTTCTTTCCTCACAATGTCAGCAAAGACAAATGGCACGGCAACCTGCTGTGTCTTACAAACCAAAAAGTAAACTAATGCATGCTTAATGTTTTAAGATAACACCCAGCTGGTTTATGCTATTTTAAATAGCTGGCTAAAACTACAATTAAGACTGTAATTGATGACATAGCTGATCCATACGAACCACACCAGTTACAACCTTTTTTTAATTCTCAATGAGAATATTTTACAGATTTATTAGTACAATTACAAGCCTTCTATGATGGCTACATCTCTTCCTGGAAGTTGAACTCAGTTCTGTATAAAATCTGTCATTTGCTTGCAACACCTTCCCCCTTGTTTGTTGGGATATTTCCTCAGCCAACAAACAGTAGACCGTTTGTTACTAAATCGCAGCCTGAAACCCAGTTTCATTGTGTGCTTTCTGTCTTCTGTAGTAACAAGCATCCATTAATTCCCTCAAATTATACAATTAATCATAAGACATGAGGAAAATGAATTTGCCTCTAGAGTTTTAGTTACATTCTGTCTCAAACAAGGACAGTTTTAAAAGTTAATGGCATACTGTGAATGTTAGCAGTACCCTATCTAAGACCGACTGTCCACAAAAATGGCCACTATCACTGTCAAAGCATTAGTGAGTGACTATCACCTTTCACCACTCTGGGAACAGGAGCAACAAAGATGCCTGACAAAATTCCTATGTTGCATCAGCGTTTTGTAGACAGAATTATGACTTAAGGCTACTTAAGTTAAATTACTTACACTAGCATTACTTAAAATCCATTAATGTTCTCTTTTTAATGGAAAGCACACATCTATAGCCAAAAAAAACCTTTATGTACATTCAGTATTTGCTTACTCTAACATCTGGCACCCACCAGCCTTCAGGTACAGCTGACATGTCACTATCAGACTCTATCATCTTAGTACCAGAACAAACTCTGATGGGGAGGGAAAACCAGACATTTGTGTTTAAAATATCGGGGTAGGTTAGCACAGCAGGTAGAAAATAACTTAAATAAGAAATGTTCTTCATCTTTCACCCCAATAAAAAAATAATTATGCCATAGCAATATGAATATTTACTTCAGACCCTATCCCTCTGTCGTGGTTTAAACCCAGTCAGACAGCTTGTTCACTCACTTCCCCCCTTTCTTGCCCTCCCCCTACTCCTGGAGGGACACAGAGGAGAATCGAAAAGAATGCAACTCCCACAGGTTGAGATAAGAACAGTTTAGTAACTAAGGTATAACACAAATCAGTACTGCTACCACCAATGATAATAATGATAAAGGAAATAACAAGGGAAGAGAATACAACATCTCACCACCAGCCAACTGATAACTCGCCCCCCCCCCCCCCAGCCTGACCAAGCACCAACCGATACCTCCTCCAACCCTGCAGTCCCAGCCCTTCCGGGTAACTCCCAGTTACATCCTGGGCATGACGTGCTGTGGTATGGAATACCTCTTTGGTCAGTTTGGGTCAGGTGTCCTGTCTCTGCTTCCTCCTGGCTTTCCCTCCTCCCTGGCAGAGCATGAGGCTCACAAAGTCCGTGGCCAGACCAAAACATCACTGTTATCAGCTCTGTTCCCAGGCCGAAAGTCAAAACACTGCACTGCACCAGCTACCAAGAAGGAGAAAAACGACTGCTACTGCTGAACCCAGGACAACCTCCACCTCATCACTGCCACAAAATCTTATTCAACTTAGTGAATGCCAAGCCAGGATCAGATAACATTTCGGACTTTACTAAAACAACTTTTAAAGACAGCACTGGCTCCTTCATTAAATCAGTGTTCTTTAAAACTTACTAATGCCATGTCAAAGACAAAGAAAAGCACAACTACGTGACAGAGGTACACAGGACTGAACCCTGTCTCTAGTTTTCTGAAACAGCACTCTCTCATAAAGCTGGGTCACTCAAATTCAAGATATTGTTTTCCTAGCACAAGCAAGGCCTACAAATTATATTAATGTAGTAATTTTAACCAGTGCAAGCCTGTAAAATCTCACATCACCTCAGATTGTAATCAGTAGTTTTTAAATGTTACTGCTTTTTTCTTTTTTCTTCTTTTTTTTTTTCTTTTCCCATTACAGGTCTTCAACCTTAACCTTTTATTTTTCTCAGAGTTACTAAAAACTATTTTCTTACAATTAATTCCCCAAAGACAGGCACACAAACTGGTAAACACATATCATTTCAGAGGAAAAGAATACTTGTAACTACGGCTTCTTTGGACAACAAGGATTCTGCACAATATAAGAATACCTTTTCAAATAACTTCAGCAATTTATTTAGTTCTTAAAACAAAAGTAAGATACACAAATGCATACTATGTATCGCATTTTTCAGCCTCTCTGCAAGGCACAGGGCATGAGATCACCAGGCTTCTCTCTTTATACTTCCGTACTCAGAACATTAACTATACCAAGCCAGACCAATTCCATGTTGGCCAACATTCATTCTCTAATGTATATTATACTGAAAGAAGCAGATGCCTAGGAAAACACAAAAAAAAAAAAAAGAAGAAGGTAAGCATTACTTGTACTTCCCTACAACACAACTTTCAGTGACTAACAATTTGCAGCTTTGTAAGTCCTGAGTCAGAAACAGTGCTTCAACCACACTGTCGTAATCATAAATCACATCTAAAACAATCATTAAGAAAATGTTCTGAAGCAAAATGCATCTCCTCTGATACGAATCGCAGCTGTGTCTGTATCTTCTAAGGTTCTCAGTAAGTTCTAAAACAATCTCTTTCAAATATCTAGATGCTGAAATCATACTTAAAAACTTATTTTCCTTTTTTTTTTTCCTCAAGTAAACACCTGAATAAAATTTATACAAACCTGAACATCATTTGCCTTCTATAGAAAACACCATTCCTCAGTATAAATGCCATCCAGTCTCACTGAAATACTGTACCAAAAACCCAGGAGACAGCATTATACCTATTGATCAGAAGGCAGGCCAGACTGATCTAAAGATATGAGTTACCTTACTTATACTTTGGTTGTGGAGAAAGTACACAGGCCCTTGCATGGGGTCTTTTAGTATACCTAAATGAACCAGCCTTTCCTTGAGCTATAAAGTCCATTAATTTTGTTGAGGTCCCATTTCCCTCCAATTTACACACACTTGAAGGCTTGGAGTGTCAACAAGATTCTGTTTTCTCCTCTGTTTTTGTACATTACTTAGAAATCATATCCAAATAAAGTTTGTGCTGTGATTTTATTTGAAGTTCCCCATTACAAACAAAACACAACTGCAGTTGATCATTTTTAGGGCAGAAGAAGCAAACTTCTCTCAGAAGAAAAAAGAATAATTTCCCAATAATTCATAATTGTCTTAACAGAAATTTTTAGTCAGGTGCATAAAGTACTACTGAATAGAAAAAGTGTAGTACATGCTGAAAGAATCCACTGCCAGGCTTACTGGTAAGGAAATAAAAATATTGCTGCACATTTTCCATGCAAATATGTGCCAGTCACTCGAGTTCTCTGCCTCAGTTCTGCATCTTAACAATAGCATTTTACTCTCTTATTAGAATTTTGCAAGAGTAAA